ATATATGTATATATATATACATATATATATATATGTATATATATATATACATACATATATATATATATATATATATATATATATATATATATATATACATATATATGTATACATATATATATGTATGTATATATATATACATACATATATATATATATATGTATGTATGTATATATATGTATGTATGTATGTATATATATGTATATATATATATATATGTATGTATATATATATACATATATATATATATGTATGTATATATATATACATATATATATATATATATATGTATGTATATATACATATATATACATATATATATATATATAATTATATCTCAGATAATAATTTTATTTTACTTTTACCGTAGCAAATGCAAAGAATTCATATTGTATTAACAATATAACATATTGTATTATCAATATTCGAGATCGAATAGTTTAACAGTCTTCAAAGTGAAGTATCACTAGTTTATCTGTCTCTTGGGAGAGGAAACAAAGCCATTGAAGTATCATTTTATGTGTTGCATCATCGTCTTTATTCTATAGAATTAATTGTTAAACGTTCTCAAGATTTAAAGTATAATTTAAATTAAAACATTTAAATTTCTTAAATTAGAAGATAATGAAGTGTCAAACTCACTATACATTCATGCTTGACCTAAATTAATTTCAACTTTTGATCAAATTAGAAAGGAACTAAGTTCAATTTAAACTATAATCTAAGTTAGACCCATGCCTAAGCTGAGCCTATGCCAATCAGATTTGACCAAACCATGGCCAAGCAATTCAATTTTCAATGACATAAATTAGAAAAAAAATATTTCACATCCTTTCAACTAGTTAAATCCATCTAAGAAGATCAATCAATAAAAGAAAAATGATCTTCGATGAGATTTTTAATCAAAATATGTCAATTATGATTAAAATTCAAAGTAACATAGTAAATATTAAATCCATCATGCATCTTAAAATTTGAAAATCTACAATTAATTAATTTCCAAGTGCAAAAAAAAGTTTATCAATCAAAACATAAATAAAATACTTCTTAAATTAAATTAAAGAAGCAAAATGAGAACTCACAATTATCTTAAGTCGAATCGTCCTTCTTCCTTCTTCGGTTCGACTAGATAGTCTTCGCTAGACTCTTCTTGGTTATAAATCCTAATTTATGGTATAAATCTTAATTTTTAATTAATTATATTATTTTAAATGTACTTATTAAAATTAAGAAATAGTGTAAGGAAACTAACTATTCTAATAAGGTAAAATGCAAAATATAGAATTTTCAATTTAGGAAAACATGGAATAAAAATCCAGTGATTACAACAAAGAATGTATTCTATTTGCAAGGACATAATAACTTTATCAACCATTCAAAAGGGCTCAAGCAGCAGTCTTTGGACAGGAACAAAAAGACCAGCATGGAGGAAGATGCTTCCCATTCAAGCCTGGGTGAATGATTATGTTGGACAAAAGCTCTAAATATGTTTGTTCTAAAGAGTGACAAAAATCTTATCAATAGCCACTTTGATGCAAGAGAAGAGATGCCCTCTGTTCCATTGGCCAAAGACAAGTAACATATAGCAGCAATCAATCTAAAACACTACTCACAGAAAAGATGGAAGTTTTAGAGAGCTTGTGGTTTGATGATGTGACCTACATTTGGTTAGTACACAGAACTCAGACCAAAAGAAACAGAGGAAAAGAAGGTATCTAATAAGCTCCACATGATGCCCAGAAACTGTAAACATGCTTTATTAGTTCATGTACCTGAGCAAATGCAACTTGGAATTGAACTATATCAGCATTGAGTTTCTCAGGATTGTCCACCAGACCCAAAATGAAAAGGTTCTCAGAAATTTTAGCACAATTCTATGCTTGTCAATCTGGTGGCAACTCTCAGGTGCCATTGTATCCCTTAGCCAAGACAAACTAGGTAAATGAAGAACCAAACAAACACAGGAATCAAAATGACCTAATTAAGAAGCTTTGAACCTTTTAATCATAGTCTAAGCTCAGCCATGTGGCAATACTACAAGGTGAGTGGATCCTCGAGAATAACAATAAAAGCAGAAATGGCAAATTTTGCTATAAAACACATTTCAAAAGCAACAAGTAAAAATGTCCTTCATACCAAGGATTACTGTTATGCGTATCTTGACCACTGTGCAAGCAAGGTAGAAGGCATTCTGATATACCATCAAGCTAATGAGCAAATATGGAGCACTTATTAGAAATCATAGTTCAGCTTGCATAGAAAAGAGGTATCAAACAGAAAAATGTAGTCGTCGGCATCGAATGCAAACATCGGAGGCTCCTGTGAGTCAATTCCATTTGAACAAAGACATGTTTAACAGCTTGTGGGCCAAGCTTGTCCAGTATATTGACCGATGTTTACTTTCCATATTAACGCAAGCATAAGAATCCCATAAACAAATTCATCAACCTTGAAAGGAGTAGCCCACGGAATGAAACTTTTACTCTTCAATCATGAATGCCACTTTATCGTGCTTCAGAAAATCATGTGTTGTGTGATCCACCACCTGTAATAAAGTGATATTCCAAATTAAAAAAATCCAAACGAAACAAGTTTTACAAATGAAGTCCATATAACTGCTTCTATAATCAGAAAAACTTGTTGCATAAAGTTCATACTAAAAAGCAGGAATGTAGCATGATAGACAGTACAATTGGCTGGCATGTTTTGGTAGAACCTCCAAAGCCTCCTGTATTTGGAGAGGAACTTGGCCATATTTTGTGCTCCAAGGAGCATGGTTTACCTTGTATTAGAGCTTTAGAGTAATATATTTCTCCTTTTTGGAAAAAAAAATGAAACTAGCAGTTTTGCCCGAAAGAGAAACATCATGAATTTCATCATAAAATCTCCAATTTGCTGTCATTCTGCTGAAGTGTGAACTTGTATTAACAAAATAATTTTGAATGTTAAACTAGTAACAAGAGTTTACAATGAAATGAGCAAGAAAAATCAGGCAACAAAGTTTTTGGTGACGTTTACATGGGTATGAAGATACCTATGAAGAGTACTGTGGGCTGACTGCCTGACTTATGCAACAGAGTTCATTGATTAGGTGTTTTAGACTCTTTATCTTCTGAATTATAAATATAGCCTGCCATACCTAAACTTAAAGTTTTGAGGACTAGAAGAATAATGTTTTAAGAAATGCTTTTGCTCTCCCATGATACCACCATAGCTGTCTTTTATTTGTTAGTCTCCCCATCAACATATCCACAAAAAAATCAGCATTACTCTCATCACATGTCATTTGTCCAATAAACAGAACTCTCTTTCAAGAATTTCATATTTAGTTGGATTTAGCAGATACTAAACTAAAATTCCAGACAACATATTAAAAGTTATATATATAGTTCCAGTGTTGAAATAAAAGAAGTCAGCTTGCGTGTCTGATAATATCAGCTGGAAAGGGGTTATGTACTGATGAGAAATGGAAAGGGAATAATGAGGGTGACACAGTCAAAAGATGAAATACAAAAGTTAACACAACGTTTTTCATAGCCACAAAAGACAATATGCCCTGTGATATAGGAACATGTGGCCCGATGGAACAAACAATGATGTGAAGTAATTCTGGAGACAGACAAAAATCCTAAGAACAACATAACTGCTATACATTTAAAAACACCGGATATGAAGATGCTCACATTTGTGTTGCTTAGCTCTAGATTGTAGAAGTCCATTGTTTTTTTCTCGAACAAAGGGCCTGCGTGCCATGTGCCAACATTAAGCTTTAGAAATTTAGGACCAGAAATTCGGAAAACACAAACATCATCAGGATGAGGGGGCATGTAATAGTGGCCACAGCAAGATTGAATGGGTTTCTGTCCATCCTCATTGATAATTTCACTTTCATTCAGTATAGATGCCTTGGCAACACCTAGATACCAGTCTTCGCCACCAACTGATCCAAGACACTGGGTAACACTTGCATGATGAGTGATCTTAGAAAATTTAAGGTCTCTGTCTTCTAGATGCATGATGTAAAACCTGTTAATGAAAAATATCAGTACTGTGTCTAATGAAAAGAGATGTAAAATGCATAAAAGTGGAGAAATGGTAGGCCCTAGAAAGGCTGACATATGAGACACATTGCATAGAAGCAGTGTTCAATATAATCTAAAACTCCAAAAGCATTTCCCAGGTAATTGTCATCAATATCCTCCAAGTAAAACTTGTGTGATGCAAAGCATGACATGATGGAAGGTATATGCACCGACATCTGACTTCTGTGATCATACAATTATGAAGACAATGAAGATGGATACAATTCCATATCTACAGAGAGAACTTAAACAGAATAAAATATTCCTTACAGGCGTTTAAAGGTCACGAAAATTGATTTTTTTAAAAAAAGGCTTATATTGGCAACAGTGAAGCAATGCAAACTAAGCCAAATAAATTGTTTGTCTATTGTTATTAAAATTAAGATATGAATAGATAACTAAAACACATGGTATGGGGCTATATCTGCATCTTGTCAGCTATTTATTATTGAAAAACCAAAGATTTTCTCCTAGCTTCCCGTGAACAAGGGTATGCTTTTTTCTTCCCTCTTCATGATAGCTGCACATAATCCTGAGGTACTGGAGGCCCTAGCTACACATTGACTAATAACCCTTAACTGCAATCTCTCTCTCTCTTTTCCTCTCGAGTTTTGACCAATATGTTGTTAAACCGTTCACCTGTCCAGCTGCAGACTCTCTTTCATGTTGCTGCCCTATTTGCACATAGTGTTGGAGTCTGAACATCTATTCCAGTAATTGTAACAAGAAGCATAGTTAATGGCATCTTAGCTTGGTGGAAGAAAGTGGATATCAGCTTGTAATTTTTGCTGAACCTGGCTGGTGCTGTCAAATACAGAGCTGGAGCTATAGAAATCGTCATGCATAACAGGAGGGCAACCAAGCTGCGAACCTACTAACCAGAACCGATTTAACCTCAGGTTCTTGGATCTTTCACATGATTGCGTTCAAAGCCGATCATTCAAGAGGATATTTTGAGGCAGCAAAGATTGATATTTGTTTCATTCATACAAAGCCTATTTAAGAGGATATTCTGAAGCTGCAAAGATTGATATTCATTTCATCCATACAAAACCTATCATTCAAGAGGATATCTAAGGCTGCAATGATTGATATTCATTTCATCAGTACAAGTTTCTCCTTACAATTTAAAAGAAGAGGTCAGCCAACAAAGGTTATAAACATAGAGCTATTAACAAACACATAAAAGATATTAACAATTGCATCAAGTGATGTCATGAGAAAAGCAAACCAAGAGGCAAATTGCAAACCACCTAATTAGAATCCAGATCTCCTTGCACCTTGTTTGATTTCTTTTCTAAACTATGAACTAAAAAAGATTAAAATCTGTAAGAGAAGAGAACCAGCAATCAATCGACAACAAGCTACCTTAAGTTTAGATGACAAAAGACAGCATAAAAACCTTGCTTATGTTGGATTTGAGTTACAATGAACTGTAACTGACAGAAAGATTATGACGTTGTTTCTCTACCTTCTTCAAATTTTCATTTTTCCCTTTCTGTTGCCTAATTGGAAGAAAGCGAACTAATTTAATTTAATTATGGGGTTGAAAGATTCAGAAAAACTACAGACATCGAGCTTGATCTACAAAATCGACTCTTTCCAACTATTTTATAATTAAGTCATTCAATCTTTCTTAAAAATAAATCTAGAAAACAAAGCAAGAAAAAAAAAATCACGGAAAAAAGACAAACCTTGGGACACCGCGGTGGAGCTCCAACTGCGCGTCGTGGGGACCGTACTCTTCGCCATCGGAGGACGCAGAGATCACCTGCCCGAAGTCCGCGAACCTCGCCGGAGTCACTTCGATGGGCTTAAGCTTGACGATCTTAGGCGAGGAAGGCTTCAATGCGCTGGCGAGGTAAGAAGAACCCATCTAGTAACACACGAAACGAACTCCACACACCATCACGCACGAAACAATCCAAACCTCAATCTTTAGGAGATTCATTCGGAAGAGAGTACCTTCAGCCTTTGGGAAGGCGACGAGGAGGAGTGCGAGGAGAAGCGGCAGAAGAAGAGGGCCGAGCGGCTCAAGGCGAGCATCTAACCTTCGGGGTGTGTGTGGGGGGGGGGGGGGGGCCCAACCCTGGCCCCCCCATGGGAATATATATTTATTTATATAGTGGGGGGGGGGGGGGGG